TGCCCCTGTTATACGGTCTTTTAATACGATTGATCAATCTTAAATTCTTTATAAATGCCAGATGGTTCGGCATCCCCGATTGAAGAGAATGAGCAGAATGTTATCACCTCGTTTCACTTATCTTCTTTCCGTATTGATGAGATATTTATCAATTAAAGCATTGGGAGTATCATCATTCTGATACGTCTCTCATACTTCAATTCGAAGTTAAGGATGATTTGAAATACGCTCTCATATACTTAACAACTGTCTATGTTTCCATTAACATCAGAGCAGTTAAGGGGTCTCGGTAGGACTGTAAGCAATTCAACGGTATAAACAAATGTTCCTGACATACAATTCTGTAAACCCTTCATCACTCCTCCTCGAAAATCTGTAGAGTTTGATGCGATTCCACCGAAAAAACATTGGCCAAATGGAAGACGATTTCAGAATTCGCGAACACAGCATGATTAACAACTTTTCCAACTGGTATTTTCGTCTTTCTTTTCAAGCATGTTGGCGAACGCTGTATACATTTTCAGACACTGGTAGTCAGTTAGTTATAGGACCCATATGAATGACAAACTTAGGCCGGTAACCCCAAACGATTGCGATTAGAAGGGAATCAGTTTGACCAAGTGGTGGGTAAAACAGGCGGAATGGACTGAAATGTGAAATGTAACGAGACGAAATCCGTACATACATGTGGGAAAGCTGTGTGGGTTGACATAACGGGAAGTAAAGAAAGAGGTCGGGTCGAATGAGAGGGAGCTATGTTAAAACTTTGTGTGGCAAGAGAAGACGGCACTTGATTGGGACACCTAGATCTCTTGTTTAGTGGTAGAACACATGTTGAGGCGTGCATGCCTGTGTGAGTCTATGTAAAGTCGGTAACAGAGATGCTTGCAAGGGTGTGCTTCTACCCGAACTTGGCATCACATCTGGTAGTAAGCTGTTGTTGCGGCAGTTGAACGCTTGCAACTGGACTAAGCATACCTTCATCTGTTGTGGCCAGGTGCGAGAACGGAATCACAAAATACGACGGGGTGGGCGAAGAGGAGTTCACAGGTTGACTGTTTTACGCACCGCCAGTCCGCTAAAGCAGTGTGGGAGAAGTTGCACGGCGGTTGCAAAACCACTATGAGGGAGGGATAGCACGAGAGAAAGAAAAAAATCTGCGCACAAGTTCAAATTCAAATTTTGTTACAATCGCCTGCCCATGTGTTTTTGCCTTTGCTTTCTGGACGGGGAAGAGAGGATAGGAATGAAGAGAAACGCTGCATCTGTCGGGGACCACACTTAGTGCGCACAGCAATGTTCTGGTCGGCGCGACCAAAAACAAAACGACTTGGGTCTGACTACTTATAGTAGTATAACTGAAGATTGCAACTGAATCAACCATTACATTACTTGCAATCGTTCCTATTTTGCTTGATTTTTGTGAAACGAAAATCAAACAAAGGTGCATGAGGCATCAGTTTAGAATATCACCACTCTGGTCATTTTAAAAATAATACACCTCTTTGTTATGGAGTAAACAAAGGTTAAGAGGTCAATATTTGCAACTCAACTCAGTCCTATTTGAAGCAGAAATGCAATCAAGAATGGATCAATTGTATGGTCTTTCAGTTGGGACAGTCGGCCATTTTGTTGTTCGCTGAGCTTGAAAGGTATCGCACCGAAGATTCGACCTTAGCTGATCAGGATTCGGGTAAGCTCATGCACAAAAGCATCGCTGAACTCTTTGTGTTCCCGGAGCGGAGATGATATCTCGAATTGTCTCGACGAACGGGAGAGGATTCTCAGATTATGTACCGTAAACTTATGCGATACAAGAGGAATCTTGCGAGATGTCAAAAATGATTTTTACAGAAAACTGGTCTATTGGAATCCTAAGGACGACATTCAATTTGCACAAAAATATTAGGGAGTGTTTAAACCACACCAATAAAACAAACATTCACTCGTGAAACAAAGTTAGGTTGAACCGCTAACCAAAGAAGATATATATATTTAACCATAGAGTGACCTCGATGAACGTTGCCCATTACACTTAATTTGAGCCAGAACTAAAAACAATCCCAAACTTAGAACTAACTATTCCTAATTAATGGAGAAATAGTCTTATTGAATCAGTCCCGTGAAAACGAGGCATCAAAAGGCAAGACCAGCAGGAGATGCGGTCAACTTAAATTTAAATTTAACTTAAGGAGTTGTGCAATCAGAACTCGGATAGTTTGAATTTAAAATAACCAATTTTTTAATTTAAGTGAAGAGTTTTAGTCAATGTTCCATTTTTTGAATAAATTTTATTACTATTTCTGGCACTAAATAATTTCATTCTCAATCAATTCCATGCTGGGTGAGATTTCACAGCATCTTCACAAGTGACAGTTTTAACATTCCCAGAGTTCTGCGAACGTCGAAGTAAATCGTAATTAGTAGCATGAAAACCAGGGTTATACGGTTAATATACAGCCCCCCTCCTCGTTTTTAATCAAGCTCCATTAATCTTATTCCACTGACTGAAAACTGATTTGCACTAACCTCGTTCCCATGGAACACCATTCGTTCAAGGTTTGCAAAATTCTGGCCATTTTGCTTTATTCGTTAAATTCGATTTCTTGAAAGCAGATTAGAAGAGTCCTCACTCCAGTAACCCCCACCAAACTGACTTCACAATTCGCCCTTAACTTCCAGTTGCTTGTGAGTAGTATGAGTGTGTGTTGGTGGGGGGAGGGGCAAAATGTCCTTGGTTTGAAGTGATTATCCTTTGAACTTTATCTTCACGTCCAAGCCTCAGTTCATCCAATGAACCATGCATTCGGAAACAATTGAATCCAGTTTTGCTCTAAGCTCATCAAAAGTGCATTTTCAACGTCCTGTTTGAGCTTTGAACTCCAAGGCGTTTGTGTTACTGCCGTGCAAACCAGGGCTAACCAGAAGCACCAGTTCATGTTTGTACATGATAGTAATTATTATTGTGACCGTTCTTGATATACATATATATATATATATATAACATTGGCTTGTAGATAAGCATGGTGCCAACACCACAACAACAATAACAATAGTAATAATAGGGGATAAGTGGATTGGGATACGGGACAAAATGGAAAGAGGGTGAAACAGTTGAACAAAGCAACTGGAAGATAACTGGGACAACAAATTGTTTGTGTTTCATAGTACAATTTTGATAGTTTTTTGTCTTGATTGTTGTTTTTACGGGGCATGGGATTTCGACGGGCAGACCGTACAGCATTCGCGCCACTGACTTTAGTTCTGGGCCATATCTCTCAGCGGCTCTAACCAACGACAATCCTCATCCCTTGGGCCCCAACCTGAAAGGTGGGCTACACCATTCGAAACCAGCTTCTTCATGCCTCTACGCCATATCATGGTCTGACCGCCGCTTCTTCCAACCTTGCCCGGCACGTGCAGAGAGAGCAAGGAAAGGAATCCAGTGGGCAGGCATGCGCAATACGTGACCAAGCCATCGGAGGCGGGGTAGAGCGATTACTTCTGTCATGGCGACTATCCGCACCCAACACACGACGACGAACCTCGTCATTGCTCACCCGGTGTTCCCACCAGACACGAGTAATGCTTCGGAGACATCGGTGGTCAAGTCGATTAGCGATAATGGTAAATAGTCTATTCTGCCTTGAGGGTTATCAATATTTTGTCAAAAGTAGGTTGTTTCCTTGGTGACTGGGATGCATCTCACACATGTTGATTCACTGTCTTAAAGGAATCTCACTAGATTCATGTGGAATCCACGTGTAAAGTTTTGACTAAGACAAAATTTTTAACACGCTTTTGCTATAACACGAGAGTGAAATGCAATCGAAATGTACCTTTTTAAAATTATTGTCAAAGTTGAGTCGAAAAAGAAAGATGAAAATAAGACTGAGTGCAATTTTTTGTCACAGGAAAACTATATAGTACAGCTAAAAAGGTCCCTTGTCAGTGACAGAATGCATTCAGATAATGATTGTTTAGTGAATAAGCCAACAGTTGATTCATGGAAGGAATTTCCATTTTCGTTTTGAAATGTTTTGACGAGTACAGACGGGGCCGATTTACCCCAAATCCGGTTTTAAATCAGCCGAGACACATTGTTGCCTGGTGGTGGAGGGTCGCCGAGGGGAGGGGTTAACCAGTGAAAAATAATGCGTGTGAATAGAATGCCATACAAATAACTATATTATCTTCCCACGGCAAGTCAGCCTCGTGACTTTCACAAGTAAAGCGTACCCCGATTCACCTCACATTTCCTAGTTGCTCTTTTCTACCCAGAATGTCACATATTTTACTCCTAATGGAAAGACCCCATGATTCTCCCCCATAATGCATTTGCTTCCGAGTGCTGGATGTCGGAAATTGAACTTCAGATACCATTCATTTAAAAAACACCAAACCGCGTGTGATAAGACTTTGTGGTCCGCTATTTCCTTCCGCTCTTATTAGACTTGTTTCCTGGCAAAGTGAATATATATCAGATTGTGATTTGGACGATCTCACGTTCAGGCCCACTTTTTGGTAATGCAATATTTCCTTCAATAAACCATTCACAAAAACAGGTTCTCGCCAAACCCAGTTAGTGCCCATACAGCACTGTGTGCACGAATGCACGATAAACCCTGATTTCATGCCAAATTGTGGCTGAATCTTTCTTCCCGAAGCCTTTTCCCTTACATAGTGGAATAATTTGAAAGAAGACAAAAGTTGCAGTGTTGGAAGTCTGCATTTATTACACCAATGTACTAGCAAGTTTCCTAATACAATAACCACAGCGAGAGGCTCCATTTAAATAGAGCAGTTCTATTTGATGGCAAAAGTCGATGAATGGGTCACATGATCTTCTCTAAACATGACTAATCCATAGTGCTGGAGTATAACACCTATATGCTATGAGCTAGACACCATGTGATTTATGCAACTTTGAAGAAAATGGATCTATTGTCCGGTAAAAATTAACATATCTAACTGTAAATGCAGTCACGGATGAAAAACAAATGAACCGGACAGCACAACTGAACCAAGCCAGCATAATTCATTCCGGACGCTTATTGGTCCGATTCGACGGATATTCATATAGCTATGATCCAATCATTGAAACCAATGGAGACCAGCCCCATAGTTCAGGTGTCTATGAACAGTTCAAGCCATACAATGCCATATTAATGTCCGATCGAACGTTAGAACTGGAATCCTGTTCTGGGCACCGACTGAAACAGCCACTTCACAGTCTGTCTCAGACTGTCTCCGACGGCCTTCAAGGAGATCGCATATCCGTATTGTGTTATGAAATTCTACATGCCCAATTGATGAATTCGCACACATTCGCTTTGGATGTGATCAGCTCGAACGACATGGATCAAGTGTATATCGAGCGCGTTGTTTGTCATGCACCACAAAGTAAAAAATCAAAGCAATGGTTTGAGATGATCACACATCTACTGACCGGTATTCCTCTCCAGCAGAAGACATCCGGACAGGGTTTGATTGTCAATGTTCCAATTCAACTGACAATTGCTGAGAGGACAAACAGTTCGGATGAAGATGGACAGTCAAACAGTTCACGTTGTTTTCCACTTTCCATCGAGCCGGCTCATTTGGTTTTGAGTTCGAAAGAAATTCAGTTGAAACGATTCTGCTACGGTAGAGCGGTGATTCGTCTAAAACTGGACGAAGTGCTAATCAGAAGAAACCGATCGCAAAATGCAATCGCACCAAACACTTTGTTGCTTCTTAGCTCATCGAAAGAATACACATGTCAAACTGCTGATCCAGTACAACATTTAGTGATCTCAACAATGCTGGAATTATGGATGCGTTTGTACAAACTGGGACTATCCCGAAACAATGGCAAAAGGGACAAAGAGAGCCGAAATGTGTTGGAAGGACGAATTCTGATCGGACCAAGTTTACATCGTTTGGATGAAGTACAAGTTTGTGTCCGTTCGGGGACCAAAGTTTTGGAATGTCTAGACATGTATGGAACATTCGAAAAACTTGAAATTCTTCATTCGGATCTGATTCCTTTTGCCGCACCAGATTTCTATGCATGTCGTCTACTGGCCCGGCAAATTCTGCCCGATTACGAGGCTGATCATATGCGTCAACTATTTATTCGTGCCCCGTCACGACATGTGCTGTACAAATGGCATCAGTATTTCAATCTGTCTCCGATCGCTGTTCTATCTATCCTGAATGTGATTGTAACCGAGCTGGAATCGCGACATCATCTTATTCAAGGCCGAATTCGACTAAATCGAGGTGATGATATCTCCTACGAGCATCAGCTGGATCCGAAACATGGATTAAAACTATTCCATCTGACATCGAGTCAGATCGCGACCACTCTCAGCACCCGATCACAGTGGCCAAATAGTCGAGTGGAACAGCTTTTACTGTTGTTGCTCAGCAGTTCCGCTCATCCTATCATCAAGATCGAACGTCAGTCGACGATAGAGAATTTGATGTTAGCCAAAGGTTCGGATCCAGTGCGCATCAACCAGGACCTCCCGCATCACATGGCGAACATATTGAGACAGATGACCACTTTCAGTTTGTGTGTAATCAATCGCCTCGCGTTGTACATAACTGTCGGATTGTATAGGACCTATCCAAAACTAGCTCAAATGAGTCCGTTTGAACGGCTTTGTCTGATGCAAAAACACTGGACACCGTTGGTTGATTCGCTCTGTCACCGTGGCAATCAGTACGGGCTGTCAAACAAACAAGATCGTCGGACCATGGCAATCAGCTGTTTTGTGGCGGCTTATCACTATCTGTTGCACACAATGATGATAAAACTGATCAAATGAATTTTCTCTCTCGGAACAAACAAGCTAGCAAAAAAGCACATAGGGAGCTTATTTTTCTTCTCGTGAATGGACAGATGTTCAGGGGTATTCGACACAGATGATCTAGTACTTGATTAGTTTCTGCGATTCGGTTAAATTGGTATAAAGAATCCACGCTCTTCGTATATATAGTCTGAAAAGTAGTAGATTGAAAAATGGGGAAATGATGAGCCTAAACAGTACAGCACATATACATGTATACGTACTTACGTACACTAACACGTTCGCAAAGAAGATGAACACATACGTTTGAATGCCTAAACCTCTCAGTTTAGAGAAACATTTAGCTAATTTGCATATTGAACAGACCAGTGCATTCACATTACCCGCAATATTTAGCCCAGTTGAGATATGGTTGGTAGTTTATCAACTTTGAGGTAAACTGTGTAGTACAAAATAGTTCCAGATAGCATCCAAACCTTAACAGGTCGTTTGCACCAGACCTTTAACCCAAAAGAATTGGTGAACACTATTTGGCTTTTGGTTCTCTCAGAACAACCCAATCAAAATGGCTTAGCTCTGGTTCCAGTAAATCGATCCCCAGTTGGATCGATGGATTCGCACTGCTGATGAGACCCAACCAGGTCGAAACAACTGGCCAGTGATTCCTAGCTTTTCAGTTCACACTTCATTTGCTATATACACGACGAATTTCCCCTTTGAAACTTAATCAAATCCTCCATTACTCACAAGAAATACAAATGCACTGGCCATGTTTGCATATGCCAGCTTCGGGACAATAACTTTCCGTCAGTGTTGATCTACAAACACAATTCTTTATGAGAGGATGACGTGTTCACTGACTCCAAGTCCTGGTCCCAAAGAATGAATGTAATATCTTTCGATTGACTTGTAGCAGTAGGTTCCGCGAGGAGTTCTCATTACTGTTCCACTGTCGTTTGGTAATTTTAGAATGCAGCACCCGAAATTCCAAAAACAATTATGCTATACATATTTAATTTTCCGTTTCCAGAAATTCATCTCGCAACCCCTGTTTGGGTTCTAGATGACGCAGATGTTGGAGATCACAGCGGTTGTAGTTTGAAAGTTTCGTTAAGTTGCGGTTTTGGACAGTTCTTGGTTGATTGCAGACAACATATTTGTGTAGTCCTTGCTGATTTATTCAGAGTTACTCAAAAGAAGAATCATACTTTGCGGGACGGTCACGATGTGGAGTTGATGCAGGTGACTGTTCCGAAGCACGGCTGGTCAGTAATAGATTAGAACTCATCCTTCCTTAACACATACAGAACGCGTGCAGATGTGAGATTCAGTTCGAACGGAGGACAGTTTCCCCAAACGCATCCGGCTTGGCGAGACGAATCAGGTGTCTGGACAACCATCAATGTTCACCATGTAAGGCATAGATGACAATTCTTCTTCTGACGAAGATAAATTGCTGCTGAAAGATATTAATGGGCCGGAAAAATAAAGCATTTTTATTATCCAAATACATTTATTTACCCTTTAAAGGATTTAAGTTTCTATAGGGAATGTTCCGTCTAATGATCAAACTCCGTGCAAGTATAAGACGTTGCTGTGTAGTATTGTGAACAGTATTCGAAATGGAGTTCCGGAATTCGCGCAATACCGATACCTGAAACAGACCAACTCCTAATCGAATAGCACACGTACTTTATTCGAATCATACACTATGCATATTCAATGCGTTTGAAGTGTGTACAATGAATTTGTCGAGGTCAGTGTCATACATCACATACTGTCACTGGAATTTTTAGCACCGCAAGCTGTGTCTGAAACTATAACGCGTCTACGTATTCAACCAATCGA